TGCTGGTATTATGAATTGAAATCAATCCACTCTTAATGTTAATGTGAACCCTGGGAAGTAGGTTAATAAATCTCAATTAGGATAAAATATGGGTCGTGAATTTCATTCTTAGAAATAATTCAAATTTTTCTACAACATATATGCATGCCAATATATCCATATGTGAGTTGATTTCATTGACTTGAACGAACAGAATATGATAAGTAACAAAGGAAATGACGATTAGAGACTATTATAAGACAATAATGTTTATTGATAAACTAGAGAGAAAGCTTTGAAGGGAAGACAAGCATATTAAATTATCTTGACGATAATGACAACCACAACCATGATAGAGGCTATGATCGCAATAAATACAAGTCAATATTTATTCTTTAATATTTATTATTAGTACTGAACATGGAAAATAAAAATATGAGTTAGGAAGAAAGTCAACGTTGAAATTAATCGGCACGGAATAATCTTAACAAACAATACTGATGATGATAATATTAGTAGTGTGATATATGCTACTTATATCAACAGATATAAGTAGTATGTAACACCAATAGAAATTGAAGTGTCTGGCAGCAGACGTTTCAAAAGATCTAATAGAAGAGAATAGGACTAGAGAGTGATTAGTATAGAAATGAAGGAACAACAAAGTCTGAGACAATTGATGAAGATTTTGTAAATCAAGAATTGAACGTATGGTATTCACATTTTACCAATTAACTCTGTGAATGCATCAATGTGTACAAATAAACTTGGTTGCTTCCCATTGTGTTCTCGTTCACTACAGTAATAATAACTGACATTCTAGACTTCAATTTGTGTTACATTATTGAGAGATTACAGTTAAATTAAAACTGTCCTAAACTTTACATTACTCGTTATTTTATTAAGAATTATAGTTGAAATAAATAATGTAATGGATTGATTTGGTTGTTTGTTTGTTCTGTCTTTTGTCACCAAACAATCATATGTTTATTGAATCTTATCAGATTGTAGAAAACAATACAATGTAATTGCATTTCATTATACAACATATTCTATCTTGTTGTAGTATCAGGTTAAATATATTGGAACATCTAAACAATCTGTATTCTTATTTAGATTTTTCGGTCAGTTTAAGTTTTAGATCAGTTGTCAATTAAAAAAACGCTCGTTGAATCACATCAGAATGATCGAAAATCACTAAGTACTAAAGACGGTTGTTGGCCCTATCTTAAGATTCATCAACAGTAACTATCCATTATAAGTAAATCTCCTACAAAACGTCAAATCAATGCAACATGATCTGTTCTAGTTTTTTTCTTTTTTTGCTTTTAAAATCTATCGGCAAGTATGTATTACACTTTCAGACATGATGTCGGTTGATAAAAGACTTTTTCTAAATCACCCCAACAACTAATAATTTGCCATCAATGAATATTTGATGTTAAATAATTACATTTGATACATCTGATAGAGATGATGAAAACAAGTTCTTTTTCATCGATATTATTTCAAACATTCCAAGGAATACTACTTATTATTTTTTCAGTAGTAAACATGTGATTTTCCTAAGTCATCAATAGACAAAAGTAGGTTTGTCTGTTTCTTTTTTTACTGAATATTTTCGTTGGCTAATTATTTCACTGTGTCGTCATCAATCAGTAAAAAAAGATAACGATTTTTAAATGTAAGTGTTACAAATTGTAACAAGATTGCACAGACTACTGATATAAGTACTTTAAAAACGTGTATTAATAAATCTGATAGATATCAATAACAAGAGAAGGAAATATACTGACTTTCCATTGTGTGTATATGTTTTGTATGTTTGTTACCAATCAAGAAAGTTCATACTAAAATTAAAGTTAAACTTGAAATCTTAATTTTTGACGGGGGTAAATTGTTTCATGCTAAAGTTATTCTACGGAAAGGCAACTTAGAAAACAAAACAGTGTAAAAACTTCTAAAGCTATGTTTTACTAGGTGGTAACAGAAATTTACATCCACTTTATAACTTAGAGGAATAGGTGAATATCCACCGGTGGCACAATTGATGACGAACTAAGTAGAATTTAACAAGTGATTGTAGACATTTAATTTCCTCCAAGGGATATAGAAAAAACTATGAAGTCAAAACGATAACATGGAAGAATCCCTGGAGCATCATAGAAGATATTTTTGGACATTAAATTTAAAGGAGATATTGAGATTGAGATCATTATGATTAAACTTTCAAGATATTTCGGAAAAATGTTCTGTCTTACCAAAATTGGTATTAGCTTCCCCATCAAGCTCCCGCTTCGTAGATATTTAAAGGATGACCCCCCTGTTAAAATTATCTCATTGTGTATCTACAAGTCTATTCGGCCTTGTGAAAAGAACCTATACTTTCATAAAGACAGACTCAACATGTGTAGTAAAATCTTTGTATAACTTAGAGACTAAAGCAATCCAGAGAATTAAAGCCTGATTTCTATGTACACAATCACAGGTTCAATCATTCACTCTAACATGATCCCAAACTTCCTTTAAATTTTCCTGTAGTTAATCGCTCGCATGCGAGGTTGATAGTTCCTGGGTTCAAATCTCGAGGGTGGGGTCATGGATGCGCACTGCTGAAAAGTCCCATACTAGGACGAAACGGCCGTCCAATTCTTCCAGGTTTTCCATAATGATCTAGCTTCAATTGTTTCATGAATTCAACTATTTAATTAGTAATCTGTTCATTTTATTTTAACAGATTATTATCACAAAATGTCAGATACAACAGTTTATCTTAGTGACTCATATTACTCAATTTAATATAACCTTAGGGATATCTATCCATCTATTTGTCTAATATACATATCTCAAATGTAATCATCTAATGAGTCAGAGATTCTCATCTTTAATTCATAACTTAGAGATAATATCAGTCTAAATTATTAATGCCAATAGCAAATCTAATTAGATAATATTTACAACTTGTTTCCTTTTTTTGTCATAAGAAAATTGTGATGATTCTCATTTGAATATCCATTTAATAAACATACAAAGTGTTATAATATTGTATATAGGATAATGAATGATGATAGTTGTAGTGAATGACCTGAATTGTTTTTACTTTACAAAAGAATCTTAGTTAGATAAGAGTTGATAATTGAAGAGTAACTGTTTTGTGTTACTTCAAAAATTTCTCAGTAGACTATACTCTTCATGGTTTGATAATGTTTATATATTGTAAGATGAAGTAGATTTGTAGTGAAGGAGAACAAAGGTGAGGATAATCGATCATATCTAGCACAAAAAAACTACACAGTTACTTGAAAAAAATTGAAAAATCGTACTCTAATACTTCATTTGCAAACTGTTCATTAATTGTCACAGACTTCATTGTTCCTACATTTCCATATCAATTACTTTCTGTTCCCGTTGTTCCCTTCTTGATTTTTTGAATCTTCTGATGCCAGAAAGTCTATTCCTGACTTACTTTATATATTACATATGTCGATATAAGTAGCAAATATCACAGTCCCATATTAGGGCGAAACGACCATCCATCACTTTCAAATTTTCAATGATGATCTAACATTGATCAATCCATGATCTTAATCAAAATTCAACAATCTCCACAACCCTATACTGATAACACATTTCCGTTAGTTCCAAATAAATTGTTAATTCTTACTGAATTTTTTGATGTTCCTGTTTATTAAAGATTTTTTCATAACAAAATCTAAAAAGCATGTTTAGTCTAGAATCGGATTTCCTCTCTGTTCTGCATATTGTTAAATCATTATCCAAATTAATCAATAACCTTCGTCCTACATATTTGCATAAAAGTCTATGCATAACAATCTATGTCACTTAATTAATCCTAATTAAATAATAATTAACTTTTACAAAATAATCTGAAAAGGGATTCCTGGATTGGTTAAAGTTAGACATTATCACCATTGTATGATGGCCGGCTCAGTGATCTAGTGGTTAGGCGCTCATGCGCGAGGTTGATAAGTCCTGGGTTCGTGGATGCGCACTGCTGAGAAGTCCCATACTAGGATGAAACGGCCGTTCAGTGCTTTCAGGTTTTCTATGGTGCTCTAGCTTCAATTGACTTATGATCTCAACTATTGAAATTACTATAATATCCAGAAAAACCCTTCTGATATTAAATACACAATTGACATTTTGAATAAGAGTATTTCATTTCTTTTCATTGAAGGATCAGTTTTGTATGTAAACACATAAATTCTTTAATAAATAAACCAATCTATTAATATCAATATTACTGAGTTGACTAAAAATTGTGCTTTGAATAAATACAATCACAAACATCAATTCTATCTGGATTTATTTAGTTTCTATGATTGTGAGGGTGGAAACACAAACAAACAACAACGTCAACAAGTAGACAAATAAGAAATGTAGTCTATTTTTACTTTTAACTTTCTCGTACTGTCTCACTTTGTCTCTTTTCTTTAATCCCAATTATCAAGTAATAATAATAGTAATAGAAAAAAATAATGGAAATTTGTTTCGGTGAATTTATACTTCTAAATGAAATAAAAAGAGGATGAAAGAGAATGGGATACAACATCCTCGATTTTTTTAATGCTAATTATTTGTTTTACTTCATTCTAAAAAAGAAAAAATGAGTGTGTGTGTGTGTGTGAGGGAGAAAGAGAGAGAAAGAGGTGTGGAGTGACGAAGTAAGAAAACAAGTAGAAGCTGAGATCGAAAGTCTGATGTACTAATGCTTTTCATAAAGCTTGATTTCATCTATTCTTTTCCTTACTCACTCACTCACCCACTCACTCACTCACTCACTCACTCACTCACTCACTCACTCACTTACTCACTCACTTACTCACTATCCCTCACATATAAACATATATACTTAAATAATTTTAAAATTGTTATGCAATACTTGAGTACAGCAATTTAAATTAACTTTTCTAGTTTTATATTAACTTAGAACATTTTTGCAGACATTCTGAACAAAATTATCCATTGTAGAAGAAACAATTAATCAGAATATGACTTACCGTCTAATAATCAGTATTTATATAAGTCTATATATGATAATAGACGTTAATTAATCCAAGTGAATTTACTTTATTGTTCACTTTATATCTGATAGAAAAGATAAAAAGAAAGTAAAATAACATTAAGATTGTTGTATACACTTGTGTTGATTATATTGTTACACACATCGTGAATGTAATAATAATAATAATCTAAGGCGGCCTGCTTGAATATCTGAGCTACCTGTTCCCGCCATTTAGATATTTTAACAAGTTATCTGTTTTCCTTTTTTGTTTTAACAGATCATTATATCAATTAATTGCATAAACTATTCCGGTGCATTTGTGAGGAGTTTATGACCTTTCATTGTATGAGTTACAAAAATATACTATCGGCGATGTCGTAATGGCTGACAATATTCTTTGAAAAGAATGAATATAATTCAGATGTCGACTTTTAAAATGCTAATAACTAACTAGTAAACACTCAATAACTCCACTTGAAGCTTCTGTGAGGCTACTGCCAGTCCCAAGCGCGGATTAAGGAAGGGGGTTGGGCATGGGATCAGCGACCCCATCCCGTAGAAAACTAACTCGCTAAAAAGACACTAACCAGAAAAAAATTATTCAAACTACTTAAACTCTGCCCTGGGAGTCAGAAGGTCTTCATTTGGAAGAGTTATGAGCCTCATGATGAAGGCCGAGTTCCTTCGGAAGCCATGAGGCTGATGCCCCTTCTGACAACTAGAGCAACCATTTACTTAGGTACATGGATTACTCGTAAAATGTGGGAGACCGTGAGGGTCTTCCAAATGGCCGCATGCAGAAATCACTCGATATTTATCATCAATATCGATCAAACAATAAGAAACGGGGACTTGCTGAAATACTTTGTGCTGAGAATTCTATATTGTACCAAAAAAGAAAAATAATATTGAATGAAGCCATTAATGATAGTAATAAAATAAATATACAAATAAGAATAACTCATATGGTTTTGAGATGGTGGAGAAGATTTATAGCTCAAGTGGATGATTTGGATGGAGTTTTGTTCTCTGATCTGGATGGTTTGGTCGTGGTCGTGACAACCAAACCATTCGGCTCAGAGATCAAAATAATAATAACATCAATTATGGTTGATAATTCATTGATTCGTTGTAATTCTTAATAATTCATAAACCTAAAACAGATTGGATGAAACGGAATCCTTGTGTTTTGAATGTAATTGAATATTCCTATACTTTAACGAACAATTCACAATAGTTAAGAAGTAGTTGTATAAATTCGATCATTTTGTATCTGAATTGATCGAAAGTATTTTTAAGTGTTTAAACTCTTGGTAAAGTCCTATTCTCATTCAATGTTAACTCTTACCTTTTTTTGACAAGTGAAATATTTACCAGAAGGGGGTTTCGTGAAGATTTTAATGACTTAATAATTGAATTCATGAGTGAATTGAAGCTAGATCACCATGGAAAACCTACGTATCCATGATCCCGTGTCGCGAGATTTGAATCCAGGACCTATTAGCCTTGCGCGCGCGAACGGCTAACCCCTAGGTTCTGGGTCCGAATCTCGCGGAGCGGGATCGGGGATGCACACTGTCAAGGGGAAGTTCCACACTAGGACGAAGCGGCCATCCAGTGCTTCCAGACTTTCCATGGTGATCTAGCTTCAATTGACTCATGAAATCAACTATAAAACATATTTATCCATTCATGATTATGTATATGATTAGATTGATTTACATCTGAATAATCCAAGGTTTGATAACTAAATGATCAAAAGTAACTTAATAATAAAACATGTAAACAACAAAGATTAATCATTGTACGAGTTACCGATAGGTTTGTTATTTTATTCAATTAATTTATGTCTATATTTGAATAATTCATTACCCTTTTTAAAATTTAAAATGGATTAAACAACGGATATAATTAAGAAATGATTATGAAAGTGTTTTACTTAGCTAAATAATAAATTACACTAGTGATACACTGAAATTCATTTTGTATATGAAGGAGTTAAAAAATTTTCAGCAGAATTACATTTATGCATATCAATCAGTTCATCTGCTTCTGTACAGAAAGCCACATCGACTATAGATTTGGCATCGACTAGGTATTTATCAATACACCTTCCAGTATTCTATTACATGAATTGAAGGAAAGAAATGTTGTATGAAAGTAAATAGTTAGGAAATTAATTATAATCAATGGGGAGACAAGAAATAAACATTATTGAGATATTGTTAACAAATTACCATAGGGATAACATTATTCACAATTTTATACTACTAAATAAATTTGTCAGTAGCTAACGAATTAGTCACACCCAACTGCGTCACAAGACAAGCTCTCACATGGAATCCTCAAGGCCAAAGGAAAAGAGGAAGATCAAAGAACACATTACGCCGGGAAACGGAGATAGACATGAGAAAAATGAACAAGAATTGGATGGAACTAGAAAAGAAGGCCCAGGACAGAGTGGGTTGGAGAATGCTGGTTGGTGGCCTATGCTCCATTGGGAGTAACAGGCGTAAGTAAGTAAGTAAGTATCGAACTAGGCAACATTTATAAAACATTTGACCTAATTTTAATACAATAATTCATTAATCTTTCACTAAGTGAATGATTAATAACATTATCATCTATGAACTGATTACCATCTGACAACTGTCCTGACCTAAAATTATTTATCTTTTGGTCACTAGTTCTCATCATCTTAAACAGAACATAATGACCATTCAATAACAATAAAAGTGATTCATAAGCATTAAAAAAAGAAACATTTTGCTCCTGGTTATATTACTCAAGGGGATAGTTTTGATTTATTGATCAATCATTTCTTAATACACTGACTAGTCGAACCTTTTATTAAGTTTTGATTTTTCCCAGATTGATAATGAAATGCCATATTATCTATATATTTGGGGCAGTGAAATAATGAGTCAACATAAGTCAAATTGTTACACATACTGATGTAGAATATGAATATAGAATATTAATAATGGTTTATAAAGAGTATTACGATCCAACCACATCATGAACCAACCAGTATTAAACGATTATTGAAAGGAAATCTAGAAGCATTGGATGGCCATTTCATCCTAGTATAGGACGCATAATAAGTGTATATCCATAATCCCATAGGAACAACTCAAACACAGAATATTTAATTTCACATGAGAACTCTTAAACTTTAAACCATTGAACCAACATTCAACTGTGTTAATGTTTAACTTCAATCAATCTACAATTCTGTACGATGATCTTCTATTGTTTTCAGTGAATAACTGCTTCACATCCAACAGTTAAACTTGAATGACCACGGGTTTTCACTAGAACTTCGAGAATTACCTCTCGAAGTTAGTAACATTCGGGCACATGATGATTATATTTCGAAATAAACCAAGCACATTCAGTGATATCTCATAACAGTATGATAAATGAGGTAAAATTGTAGGTGGCCTGATGTTAGCAGATTATTCACATAATCAGGATCACTAACCACCTATTAGTTTTTGAACCAATTTGACCAACTATAAATACCAGTAAGTTTTATTTGGTTTCTTTATCAAGAATGTTTTCAATAGTTGAGATCATGAGTCAATTGAAGCTAGACCACCATGAAAAACCTGAAAGCACTGGACTGCCTTCTCGTACTATTGTGTGACTCCTTAGCAATACAAAGTTTTGTATTTATTTTCTGCATAAATGATTTTGTCAACAGTTACAAATATGAGTAGTTGCTTAATGGAACTACAAACCACCATACAAATCAACAAATTAATATGTGCATTTTATTAGAACAAACAGTAAATTATGACCATTCAACCTTATTAAAATGTGTCTACCTCAGTACAATGGAAGATGGTTGCGCGATTTCGTGGATTGGTTGAGGTTAGACATTAACGCCATTGGATGCCGGCTGGCTCAGTGGTCTAGTTGGTTGAGCGCCTGGCACGAGACTGCTAGGTCCTGGGTTCGAATCTCGCGGGGTGTGGGATCGTGGATGCTCACTGCTGAGAAGTCCCACAATAGGACGAGTTGTCCGTCGACTGCTTCCAGGTTTGCAGTAGTGGTCTGACAACGATCGGTTCATGATCTCAATAAAAAAACGTCACAATCTCCATAACCCCTAAACTGAGAATATTTTGTTGTTAAATTGAAGTGAAAGAGGTTTTTTCAACATTCATTTATGAAGAATTCCATGTTATATACTGTGATGAAATATTTCTATTCCTCTCCTCGTTCTTGTTCTTGCTCCTGTCCTTCTTCTTCTTCTTCTTCTTCTTCTTCTTATTATTATTATTATTATTATTATTATTATTATTATTATTATTACTATTGTACTATTATTATTATTATCATTATCATTACTATAATTACTAGGCCACTTCGGATTAATACGTTGCTGAAATCAAGCAATAAACTTATATTTTACTCTAGTTGGTGATTATTTATTTACCGCAAAGATCTTTTAAAAAAAATCATAATCATAAAACAATTACGTCTGAATTATTTTATTATTCTAATGGCGTCAAAGTTTTGGTAAATTTATCTGCTTATTGATTAATTAATAAGTAGTCAGAATTCATATAAATAATTTAAAGATTTTTTCGGAATCTAGCATTCTATATTTAGACATTTAACCTGAAAAAAAAACATTTCTATCTTAACAAGTTTAATATGTCAGTGGTAACTGAGTTGTGTTAATGAAATACTTATTAATCATATGTTACGTCCAAAAGAATAACAAATGGATCATCTATCCAAATGCATATAGAGCATGAACTATGAAAATGAACTTGAGTGACTCTGTTCAACTAATCAGAGAATAACAAAAATAAATGAACAGTTTATTATCCAAGAACTATAAGTTAGAATTGGAGTGAAAATTTTAGGATTTAGGATTAGGATTATAATTTACACTTCGTTTTTATGCACCTATATTCTGAGTATGGACCCTAAATATTGAACTCATTAACAGTTGAGTATCTAATGGTGTTTTCGTGACTGAAAACTTGAAACTACTTATTTGTTTATGGTTGGCTTCTTTTACAGTTTCGGCTTATCTAAAGACCATTAAAGCTTGTTTTCTCTATTT